CAATGATTTTATAGAGGTTCGGTCCAACCACTTGGAACCTAGTCCTCTACCTTGGCTTCACTCACCAAGGATTTCCTCCACACTCTCCACTAGCAAAAACAATGGTGGCTTAAAGGAGCCACTCAATCCTTTACAAGAAGAAAGGTTTCTCTCAAATCTCACCCCTTTACACTTTAACCCCAAAGATCCTCTCTTTAGATCACCCTTGAAGGAATCAACACATCCCCAAGATCACTCACTAATAGCACAAGAAGAGGATTACAAACAAAGATCTCTCAAAGATCAAAATCTCAAGTTAAAGCACAAGTTGGTAGTAAAGATATTCAATACAATACTCTCTAAAAAATCTTTAGATCTGTTACCAACCATATTTATAGCCCCTTGCTCGAAAATAGCCGTTTCTAGCCGTTGGGGGTCATTAAATGCCCTGCAGGACACGAAGCTCGAGTTGCAAGATTGTCAGGAGAGCCGGCTTAACTTCCTAGAGCCGGCTATATAGAGCCGGCTTAAACTTCCAAAGCCGGCTTTGCGGGATTCCTGCACATTCTGTTTTCCTCGAGAGCCGACTGCAAAACTTTGAGCCGGCTTTGGAATTCCGACTTTAAATACATTAAATATTCTTCAAAAGAGTCGACCGTTGTGCATTAAATGTACCCTCACAGCCGGCTGCAAAGCCAGAAACGGCTTTGCATCTTTTCTCCACGCGCGCCAAACAACGTTCTTCCAATTTTTGCCTGTAGAGCCGGCTGCAGCTTCTAGAGCTGGCTCTCTGCACTTCCATTTCACCAGAGCCGGCTGCATTTTACCAGAGCCGGCTCTCTGCACATTGAATCCTTTTGGTCTATTTTTAGTGCCATCCAAGTTTACTTGCAATCTTTTAGCAACTTAACTACACACTTAAATAAACCAATTAGTCACTCAAATGTGTTTTGTAATCATCAAAATCATAGGTACAACAAAAACCAACATCACTGACACCGTTGATTCAACCTTGACGCGTCAGATCTGCAAGATCCCAACAAACCAATGGCAAAATCACACTCCAAATCAACATAAGAGCTAAACATGAAGCAGCATTACAAGTGAAACCCGTTCGCCACAACCAAAGAAGGAGGACACAGGATCAGAGATAGCGTCACCAAAACCAGAACTGGCAAACGATTAGGAATCAAAATCACCATCACTTAGCTCCACCTAGAGAACTTGAGCTTGAAGAAGAAAAAGAAGAAGCAGAACTCCAACCAAAAAGGGCTTCGTAGGGTGACTTTCGACAGGAAGGGTAGAACGGCAGAAGAAAGGGAGGGGAAGCTTAGCTGTAGAAATCGTAGAATAAAATGTGACAGTGAATGAGTGATGAGAATAAGGGTTAGGGTTAAATGGGTAATAATGGGTTGGGTAAAATTGGGTTAAATTTAATTTTAATTAGATTGGGTTTG